GGGGCTGGTGCCTATCTCCAGCAGTCTCTAGGCAAACAGGTGGGGTACAGGTTGACAGTCCATTGCAGGTCCACTTGTCCAGTTATAACAATTAAGTCAAAAAGCGTTAGTGTCAAGCGAGACAAAATTATACCACGTCAAGTGTATTCTTTTCCACAAGTCTCTGTGGCGCAATTGGTTAGCGCGTTCGGCTGTTAACCGAAAGGTTGGTGGTTCGAGCCCACCCAGGGACGTGTAATATGTCCTTGCTAAAAATTAAGGACATTGCATATCTATGAAAAACAAGATTAATGAACTTGCAAACTGTCAACCTATTGAGCAATTTTAGCCCAGGTTCAACGCATGAATTCAGATCAGCTTATGTTTCACAAGAAATTTCAATTTGTGTGATCAGTAATTTTTGGGGAGTTCACTTGTTTTATTAACCTGACCACTGGAAAGTTTATACGACATTAACGATGTTCCATACATCCATCAGTTTACTGGGGGCTGGTGCCTATCTCCAGCAGTCTCTAGGCAAACAGGTGGGGTACAGGTTGACAGTCCATTGCAGGTCCACTTGTGCAGTTATAACAATTTAGTGAAATAACGTTAGTGTCAATCGGGGCAAAATTATGCCATGTAAAGGGATTGGAATACTCACAAGTCTCTGTGGCGCAATTGGACAGCGCGTTCGGCTGTTAACCGAAAGGTTGGTGGTTCGAGCCCACCCAGGGACGTGTAATATGTCCTTGCTGAAAATAAGGACATTGCGCTCCTATGAAAAACAAGATTAATGAACTTGCAAACTGTCAACCTGTTGAGCAATTTCACCCCAGGTTCAATGCATGAATTCAGATTCCCATATGTTTCACAAGAAAATTCAATTTGTGTGATCAGTCTTTTGGGGGAGTTCAATTGTTTGAAAAACCTGACCGCTGGATAGTTTATACGACATTAACAAGGTTCCATATATCCATCAGTTTACTGGGGGCTGGTGCCTATCTCCAGCAGTCTCTAGGCAAACAGGTGGGGTACAGGTTGACAGTCCATTGCAGGTCCACTTGTGCAGTTATAACAATTAAGTGAAACAACGTTAGTGTCAATCGGGGCAAAATTATGCCATGTAAAGGGTTGGAACACTCACAAGTATCTGTGGCGCAATTGGACAGCGTATTCTGCTGTTAACCGAAAGGTTGGTGGTTCGAGCCCACCCAGGGACGTGTGCTATGTCCTTGCCGAAAATAAGGACATTGCGCTTCTATGAAAAACAAGATTAATGAACTTGCAAACTGTCAACCTGTTGAGCAATTTCAGCCCAGGTTCAATGCATGAAATCAGATTACCTTATGTTTCACAAGAAAATTCAATTTGTGTGATCAGTCTTTTGGGGGAGTTCAATTGTTTGAAAAACCTGACCGCTGGATAGTTTATACGACATTAACGAGGTTCCATATATCCATCAGTTTACTGGGGGCTGGTGCCTATCTCCAGCAGTCTCTAGGCAAACAGGTGGGGTACAGGTTGACAGTCCATTGCAGGTCCACTTGTCCAGTTATAACAATTAAGTCAAAAAGCGTTAGTGTCAAGCGAGACAAAATTATACCACGTCAAGTGTATTCTTTTCCACAAGTCTCTGTGGCGCAATTGGTTAGCGCGTTCGGCTGTTAACCGAAAGGTTGGTGGTTCGAGCCCACCCAGGGACGTGTAATATGTCCTTGCTAAAAATTAAGGGCATTGCATATCTATGAAAAACAAGATTAATGAACTTGCAAACTGTCAACCTATTGAGCAATTTTAGCCCAGGTTCAACGCATGAATTCAGATCAGCTTATGTTTCACAAGAAAATTCAATTTGTGTGATCAGTAATTTTTGGGGAGTTCACTTGTTTTATTAACCTGACCACTGGAAAATTTATACGACATTAACGATGTTCCATACATCCATCAGTTTACTGGGGGCTGGTGCCTATCTCCAGCAGTCTCTAGGCAAACAGGTGGGGTACAGGTTGACAGTCCATTGCAGGTCCACTTGTGTAGTTATAACAATTAAGTGAAACAGCGTTAGTGTCAATCGGGGCAAAATTATGCCATGTAAAGGGTTGTGACATTTCCCAAGTCTCTGTGGCGCAATTGGTTAGCGCGTTCAACTGTTAACCGAAAGGTTGGTGGTTCGAGCCCACCCAGTGACGTGTAATATGTCCTTGCCGAAAATTAAGGACATTGCGCTTCTATGAAAAACAAGATTAATGAACTTGCAAACTGTCAACCTGTTGAGCAATTTCAGCCCAGGTTCAATGCATGAATTCAGATTCCCTTATGTTTCACAAGAAAATTCAATTTGTGTGATCAGTCTTTTGGGGGAGTTCAATTGTTTGAAAAACCTGACCGCTGGATAGTTTATAGGACATTAACAAGGTTCCATATATCCATCAGTTTACTGGGGGCTGGTGCCTATCTCCAGCAGTCTCTAGGCAAACAGGTGGGGTACAGGTTGACAGTCCATTGCAGGTCCACTTGTCCAGTTATAACAATTAAGTCAAAAAGCGTTAGTGTCAAGCGAGACAAAATTATACCAAGTCAAGTGTATTCATTTCCACAAGTCTCTGTGGCGCAATTGGTTAGCGCGTTCGGCTGTTAACCGAAAGGTTGGTGGTTCGAGCCCACCCAGGGACGTGTAATATGTCCTTGCTAAAAATTAAGGGCATTGCATATCTATGAAAAACAAGATTAATGAACTTGCAAACTGTCAACCTATTGAGCAATTTTAGCCCAGGTTCAACGCATGAATTCAGATCAGCTTATGTTTCACAAGAAATTTCAATTTGTGTGATCAGTAATTTTTGGGGAGTTCACTTGTTTTATTAACCTGACCACTGGAAAGTTTATACGACATTAACGATGTTCCATACATCCATCAGTTTACTGGGGGCTGGTGCCTATCTCCAGCAGTCTCTAGGCAAACAGGTGGGGTACAGGTTGACAGTCCATTGCAGGTCCACTTGTGCAGTTATAACAATTAAGTGAAATAACGTTAGTGTCAATCGGGTCAAAATTATGCCATGTAAAGGGTTGGAACACTCACAAGTCTCTGTGGCGCAATTGGACAGCGCGTTCGGCTGTTAACCGAAAGGTTAGTGGTTCGAGCCCACCCAGGGACGTGTAATATGTCCTTGCGGAAAATAAGGAAATTGCGCTCCTATGAAAAACAAGATTAATGAACTTGCAAACTGTCAACCTGTTGAGCAAATTCAGCCCAGGTTCTATGCATGAATGCAGATCAGCTTATGTTTCACAAGAAAATTCCATTTGTGTGATCAGTTTTTCTGGGGAGTTCACTTTTTTTATAAACCTGACCGCTGGATAGTTTGTACGACATTAACGATGTTCCATATATCCATCAGTTTACTGGGGGCTGGTGCCTATCTCCAGCAGTCTCTAGGCAAACAGGTGGGGTACAGGTTGACAGTCCATTGCAGGTCCACTTGTGCAGTTATAACAATTAAGTGAAATAACGTTAGTGTCAATCGGGTCAAAATTATGCCATGTAAAGGGTTGGAACACTCACAAGTCTCTGTGGCGCAATTGGACAGCGCGTTCGGCTGTTAACCGAAAGGTTAGTGGTTCGAGCCCACCCAGGGACGTGTAATATGTCCTTGCGGAAAATAAGGAAATTGCGCTCCTATGAAAAACAAGATTAATGAACTTGCAAACTGTCAACCTGTTGAGCAAATTCAGCCCAGGTTCTATGCATGAATGCAGATCAGCTTATGTTTCACAAGAAAATTCCATTGGTGTGATCAGTTTTTCTGGGGAGTTCACTTTTTTTATAAACCTGACCGCTGGATAGTTTGTACGACATTAACGAGGTTCCATATATCCATCAGTTTACAGGGGGCTGGTGCCTATCTCCAGCAGTCTCTAGGCAAACAGGTGGGGTACAGGTTGACAGTCCATTGCAGGTCCACTTGTGTAGTTATAACAATTAAGTGAAACAGCGTTAGTGTCAATCGGGGCAAAATTATGCCATGTAAAGGGTTGAAACATTTCACAACTCTCTGTGGCGCAATTGGTTAGCGCATTCGGCTGTTAACAAAAAGGTTGGTGGTTCGAGCCCACCCAGGGACGTGTAATATGTCCTTGCCGAAAATTAAGGACATTGCGCTTCTATGAAAAACAAGATTAATGAACTTGCAAACTGTCAACCTGTTGAGCAATTTCAGCCCAGGTACAATGCATGAATTCAGATTCCCTTATGTTTCACAAGAAAATTCAATTTGTGTGATCAGTCTTTTGGGGGAGTTCAATTGTTTGAAAAACCTGACCGCTGGATAGTTTATACGACATTAACGAGGTTCCATATATCCATCAGTTTACTGGGGGCTGGTGCCTATCTCCAGCAGTCTCTAGGCAAACAGGTGGGGTACAGGTTGACAGTCCATTGCAGGTCCACTTGTGCAGTTATAACAATTAAGTGAAATAACGTTAGTGTCAATCGGGGCAAAATTATGCCATGTAAAGGGTTGGAACACTCATAAGTCTCTGTGGCGCAACTGGACAGCCTTTAGGCTGTTAACCAAAAGTTTGGTGGTTCAAGCCCACCCAGGGACGTGTAATATGTCCTTGCCAAAAATTAAGGACATTGCCCTTCTATGAAAAACAAGATTAATGAACTTGCAAACTGTCAATCTGTTGAGCAGTTTTAGCCTAGGTTCAATGCATGAATTCAGATCAGCTTATGTTTCACAAGAAAATTCAATTTGTGTGATCAGTTATTTTTGGGGAGATCACTTGTTTGAAAAACCTGACCACTGGATAGTTTATACGACATTAACGAGGTCCCATACATCCATCAGTTTACAGGGGGCTGGTGCCTATCTCCAGCAGTCTCTAGGCAATCAGGTGGGTTACAGGTTGACAGTCCATTGCAGGTCCGCTTGTGCAGTTATAACAATAAAGTAAAAAAGCTTTAGTGTCAAGCGAGGCGAAATTATGCCTCGTCAAGTGTTCATCTCACACAAGTCTCTGTGGCGTAATTGGACAGCACGTTCGGCTGTTAACCAAAAGGTTGGTGGTTCGAGCCCACCCAGGGACATGTAATATATGCTTGCTAAAAGTTAAGGACATTGCACTTCTATCAAAAACAAGATTAATGATCTTGCAAAGTGTAAATCTTTTGAGCAATAGTAGCCCAGATTCAATGTATGATTTCAGATCCTCTAAATTTGGCAAGAAAATTCAATTTGTGTGATCAGTTATTTTTGGGGAGTTCACTTGTTTGAAAAACCTGACCGCTGGATAGTTTATACGACATTAATGAGGTTCCATACATCCATGAGGTTGCAGGGGGCTGGTGCCTATCTCCAGCGGTCTCTTGGCAATCAGGTGGGGTACAGGTGGACAGCCCATTGCAGGTCGACTTGTGCAGTTATAAAAATTAAGTCAAAAAGTGTTATTGTCAATCGGGGCAAAATAATGCCATGTAACGTGTTTATCTCACACATATCTCTGTGGCGCAAGTGGACAGCGTGTTTGGCTGTTAACCAAAAGTTTGGTGGTTCGAGCCCACCCAGATACATGTAATATATGCTTGCTAAAAATTAAGGACATTGCACTTCTATCAAAAACAAGATTAATGAACTTGCAAAGTGTAAATCTTTTGTGCAATAGTAGCCCAGGTTCAATGTATGAATTCAGATCCTCTAATGTTTGGCAAGAAAATTCAATCTGTGTGATCAGTTTTTTTGGGGGGGGGTCACTTGTTTGAAAAACCTGACCGCTGGATAGTTTATACGACATTAATGAAGTTCCATACATCCAAGAGGTTGCAGGGGGCTGGTGCCTATCTCCAGCAGTCTCTAGGCAAACAGGTGGGGTACAGGTTGACAGTCCATTGCAGGTCCACTTGTGCAGTTATAACAATTAAGTGAAACAGCGTTAGTGTCAATCGGGGCAAAATTATGCCATGTAAAGGGTTCTAACATTTCACTGCTGGTGCCTATCTCCAGCAGTCAACGGGCAATCAGGCGGGGTACACCTGTACAGAGAGCCAGTCCATCGCAGAGGATCAAAAACATGTGACCAAACAGACTGTCTGCAGCGGGTAAACGTATATGTTTTTTGTGGACCTTTTTTTAGGAGTTTTTATTTTGTGCACTTAATTTTACATGTTACACAAGAGTTACATGATTAGTGTTACTTATTTGTAGCAATAAGCCTGCTTGTTCTCTTTTATGCTCTGCATTCAAGCATGTTTTTGAAGCTGATTGTTGTCAGCATTTGCAATTGCAATGTTTGATAATGAAGCCTAAAGCCTGATTCGTGCTTCTCCATCTGCGTCGGTGCGGAGACACGCAACGTCCTCGCGTGCCTGCCGCACAGCTCCGCAAGGATGGACGAAGTCGAGCTCTCTTTTCTAAACATCCGTCAATCGAGACGGACAACGCAAGCTTGTGATTGGTCAGGACGACACAGTTGTTTACAGTGCCGCCATCAGTGTTGGGCAAGTTACTTCAAAACTGTAATGCATTATTTATTACTTGTTACCTTCATTTTCATGTAATTGATTACATTACAATATTACTGATTTTAAAATGTAAGGCATTACACTACTTTTGCATTACTTTCACCAAAACAACTTCAATATGAATCTGGTAATCTGATGCTCAGTGAGCTCATGACATATATGTGGAAAATTATGTGGTGTCTGAGCTAGGATTGCTGTTAAAAACAGATATAATAACAGTGCTTTAAAATGATTGTTTATTAAATAAAAGCAACAACAATCCGTACTCTCAGCACGCTGCCATCTTATATTAACTGAGCAGGAAGTGAGGTGGTGGGGGCTCCAAGCCTATATTTGCCTTAGTCCCCAAATGCCTTGATACGGCCCTGGATGTGGGACTGACTTCTGGGGTGATCTGATTCTATCACATGTATAAATATTAAATGCTTATATATTATTGCTTTTCACTGGTAAAAATGTGTATTGGGGATAAATCTACCTACTTTTTTTCTTTTCAAGCACATTGTTTTGTTTTCTTGATTTTATCTGAATAATTTCCTGCCCTTTCTCTCTCTATCCTTCCTGCATGCTGAATGTTTTCTGCGTCTTCCAGAAAAACTGTTTCCTAGATTTCCTACTTTCTAACTAATCAGCCAAAGGGATCTACCGAATGCAAAAAAAGATTAATATGCGCTGCGCTCCAGCAGCAACGAGTTGAAATCACCGGGCGAGGGCACAGACTATGAACTCAGCTGAGGCAAAGCACGTCAGAAAAGTACAGAGAATATGGGCTGATATGAACGATCGCAAGTGAATTATTTTATTTTGTTTTGGTGGAGCGATTTTATGAACATAACAGCGGCTGCGCAGGACGCAGCTGGAGTATTTGAGCCATTACTGCTGCGTCCTCTCTGCTCATAGAATGCCCGCAAAGCGGAGTCCATAAATGGCGTCATATATGTGGATACCGGATCTTTATTTTGGGCTTTCCGCAATTTTAATTTTTAAGAAACCCACATCTTTATTCTGGATTTAAAAATGCATTGTAATTACTGCGTTACTGACAATTGTACCGAGTAAATATTACCATTTTCTTTCCCTGTAAAGCCTTACATTACCACATTACAGCAAAAAGCAATGCATTACAGTAATTAATTACTTTTGTACCGCGTCACTCCCAACACTGGCCGCCATTGCGCCCTCAAAAACTTACAGAGAGCCGAGGATAACAAGTGGCAGACACGGACAAGCTTGAAGAATACCTCGCAAAAAAACTCTAAAAATATGAACGTTTAACTCCCCTGTGGCTGGAGGAGTGAAAAGATGTGCAGCAAGCGTTTTATTTGTGGACGGAAATGACAGGAAATGTGGGTTTAGAGCAAGCCCCCACAATGCCGCTCAGAAAATGGTCCCAACCCGGAAGTAAGAAAAATTGCAGTTCCACCCTCATCCGCTGGGGGCTGGTACCAGAAGCGAGCAAATCCTCATTGACTCCCATGTTAAAAATGCCATTTTCACAGCAGAAATAAACATGTTTACAGCCTGGTTCAAAAAATGGTTTTTTGTCTAAATTATCTAGTTTATACTCATGACAACTCTGAGGGGGGTGAATTTTTTTCTCACTCTTCTGTTTAAGTGTATTGAAAGCCTAAAATTATGTATAATTAATGAGCATCCGACACACGTGACCGCCGCCTCAGACCCACGTGACCACAGAGCTAGCTCCGTGGAAAGGCCTCAGTACAGCCTCGGTCTCTCCTGGAAACTGTGTCGGGATTTTGAGTCTCTGTGCTTGTGAATTCTGTTTTGGATAATATTGGTGTAATTGTTGGACAAAATGACTTGCTGTGGTATTAATTGCACTAATAGAGCGTCCAAGGAGTCTCCACTTCATTTTTATCGGTAAGTTAAAATCTATATTTGTATTTTATGTCACTGCTGCCTTTAAACTAGCTGAGTTTACCGAAGTAGCTAGCTAACTATCAGTTTAACATGTAGCATGTACTGTTTAACCATGAAATTTAAATGTAAAATACGGTAAAATAATTAATACGGCATATTTAGATGGGTAATAGGGTAAAACCCAGTGCATTTAAGATAAAAATGGGTTGAAATATGACGGGGCGCGTCGCTTGGGGGGACACTTCTGTGCTCCATTCTTTCATCCGGTAATCTCCAGCGGTCAGGCCGGGCAGGCTGACCGATGCGGCGCCTCGCTGCTGCGGGCTGACTGCTAGTGGAACTCGGAGACAGATCTGACCGGAGAAATACTGCAGCTCGTTGAGAAGTCTATAGGGCATACAGCGTTTCCCTTAAATCCCACCGCCACGCCGACAAGATCCCAAGTTTCTTTGTTTTTGTTGGCGCTGTTTACCGAAGAAGCAGCGGGAATACCAGCAAGTTTCATCAGACTCGTAAAGTTAGTTTTTGCAGGGGACCCCCTGTATTTTACTGCTCCCTCCTGCAGTCTTCCCCTATTAAAATTTAAAATGTGTAACTTCATGTATTGGGATGAATGACTAATATTCATGTTAACTAAAACGGTAGGTATTTAGGGGGAAAAAACTAAATAATAAACATTATACAGATGTCAAATAAATCAAACTGTAATTAAACTATATATTTTCAAAGTTTTGATTCTGGATAAAATCCAACAACATATGCTTTATAAATAAACACTACACATGGCTTTTATACACACACACACACACACGTTACATTGTGATTTCTTAGTAAATATTCTATTTGGCGAGAGATAAACTTTATTGTATTTATCCTAGTGAATCTATAATTAAACGGGTAAACTAGCAGTAGTACATCCTACATCAAAGAAAGTAAAATGTTATTATCAGGAGAGGGAGAATGATTAAGTGGTTAGCAGCAGTGTGCTAGACGATGGCCCCCTCCATGAGGCCACCACAGCTCAGCAGAACATCGTTGTAGCTTCTTCTGGGGATAAAAACACTTAGAGAAAAAATAAAGTTAACAGCTGAAATAGCAGGAAATAATACAGTTAAAGAGCAGATTGTAGAAGAAAGAAACCCCTGGGTTAAACTGGTCTGTCTACTGCATAATGCTGAACTCTAACATGTGTCCTCAGGGAAGGACCTGATTGGTGTCCAGAACCTGCTGAAGAAGCACGAGGCTCTGCAGGCTGAGATCACAGGTCATGAACCTCGCATCAAGGCTGTCACCCAGAAAGGAGAGACCATAATGGAGGAAGGTAGAGCAGGTCTGGTCCTGACATGTTTCTGAGGTGTCTGCAGGTTCTGGCTCACTTTGTTTGGGTCCAGGTCACTTCGCTGGTTCAGAACCCTCGGCCCGTCAGAACATTCTTATCCACCACATTCTAACACCAGACCTGTTAACCCGACAGCAACAAGTGGCTCCAACTGACGATGAGACCGGGAAGGAGCTGGTTCTGGCTCTGTACGACTACCAGGAGAAGAGTCCTGGAGAGGTCACCATGAAGAAGGGCGACATCCTCACGCTGCTCAACAGCACCAACAAGGTTCTTGTGCCCTTCACAGCCAAGGAACGACCTCCAGCTCAGAGCGAACATCTCCACACCTGCTTTGTGTTTGTGTGACTTTAGGTTGTTTTACTTGAACTCGCGTCTTTAGCTGAATGAGGATGGAGAGACGGGTCGGACCTGGAGCAGGTCGAGGTCTTGCAGAAATTTGACGACTTCCAGAAAGTCGGACTTTTCCTCCTCTCCGTCTTCCAGCAGCAGCTGTCAGATCAGCTCAGGTGATAATCAGCAGGTGCTTTTGTCCTGCAGGACCTGAAGGCCAACGAGTCCCGCCTGAGGGACATCAACAAGGTGGCATGTGAACTGGAGTCAGAAGGTCTGATGGCTGAGGAGGCTCCTATGGTTCAGGCTCAGGTGAGCGTCACCTGTCTGCAGCAGCTGGTCCCTCTCACTTCCTGGTTTGTTAACTCTGCTCGTCTCTGTTTGTAGCAACAAGAACATCTGGGTTCTGCTCCTGGAAAGGTGCGTGTTGTCCTCCGCCTCCACCAGAACCAGACGTGGTGTTTTTGTTACCACTCATTTGTTTGTTTACAGGATGAAGCCGACTCTAACCCCGGCTTTCCACAGGAGCCGTCAGCAGCACGTTACTGCAGCAGCACGTCATAGCTGCTGATAGGAACCGCTGTGGTCAACAGAACCTTTTCCACTGGAGCCGTCGGCAGCTCGAGTCGGCCGCGTCTCAGGAGCAGCATGTCGCGGCCTTTACGCGCCGGTTCTATTTTCTACGCGCGACGCCTCTGAAACGGGTCAAGTTCAACATTTTTGGGGAAGGAAAGACAGGAAATCGGACGCGGAAATTGAGAGAAGCTACCGAGATTTTCAGAATAAAGAACGTACTGCCTTCCGGTTGCTTTACTTTTAAAAAAAGTTACTAACTGAGCGGCCCCGTGAGAAGTTATCACCTAGATAGCGGTCTCCTTTGTTTTTCAGGTCCGTATTGGGGATTATAAAACGGACAGAACATAAAACACAAACCATGTTGTAATTTTCTCCTGCTTGTTGTTGTGTTTACTGACGAAGTCACTCGTGTGACTTCGTGCTCGGTCGGTGACAGCTGCTCCCCTGCTGCTTCGCGTCTCGTGGGAAGGGCCGAGCAGCAGCTTACGCGAGCAAGACGTGCTGCTGCAGTAACGTGCTGCTGACGGCTCCCGTGGAAACCCGGGGCAAGACGGCGTCACCCTAGAAGGTGAGTTCATTCAGCTGATCAGAGGTCACCTCTGATGGCCGCAGTCACGGCCGACCGTGCTGAAATCACACAGGAATTCAGGTGACCCGGCAGGCACCAGGTGCTGGTGAAAGTGGGGACATGTCAGCTGGTTGCCATGGCTACAGTTATCTTTATGCATCTGTATGACTGCTGACTGGTGTGTGTTTCCTGTGACCTTTGACCTCAGACCGTACGGTTGGGCGTTCAGACGACGGCTAACTTTAATTCCATCAAGGTAAGAGGAAGCTCTTCCCTTCCTGTCTGAGCGATCCGTCTCCAGGTTTCCTCGTCCGGCGTCCAGCCCGCTGGCGTCCACCTTCATCTCACTGGGTTTGGTTTCTCTCCAGGAGCTGAACAACCGCTGGCTGAAGACCGGAGCAACATGCTGGGCAGCGCCCATGAGGTGCAGCGCTTCCACCTGTACCCCGCACACTTATGCGCCGCTTACGGGTCAGTAGAGTTTGGACCCACACTCAGACGGAGTTCTGATGTCTTCTCAGAGACGCTGATGAGACCAAAGAGTGGATCGAGGAGAAGAACCAGGCCCTGAACACAGACAACTACGGCCACCACCTGGCCAGCGTTCAGGCTCTGCAGCGTGAACATGAAAGCTTTGAGCGTGACCTGGCAGCTCTGGGTGATAAGGTCCGCTTCCTGATTGGTACCAGGACCCGAGTTGTCTCTGGAGACACGTTCTTCATGGTTCTGGTGACTCCACCCCAGCCGTTCCTGATCAGCGATCAGCGGGGTGCTTTCCTATTTAAGGTGGATGGAGGACACAATTTGACGCCAGAAGATTGCCTCAGTTTTGGTAGTAACCAGCCACTCGTGTTACCTCTAGTGTTCCTAGGATTAATGTTATTTCGTAGTGTTTTTGCTCTTATATTGGATTTACCATTCTTCAGGATTCCTGTCGACCTCATTGGATACTGACCTCTACTCCAGGATTTGGATATTCAACACACGGACCTTATCACCACCCTCCATAACCCACCTCTCATCTCACCCAGTGCTCCATCCACCAGGACGCCCCGCTTCTCTCCACCTCTGCTCCCTCTCCTGCGCTTCCCCCGGCTCTCTACCTCTCCCTCCTCCAGCCAACACATACACCCACCACAGTAAGTCTGCTGAACACCTCTGCCTGCCTACAATGGATTTTGAAACCAGAACCTAAGCTCACCTGTGTTCTCCCTCCTCCAGACGCTGAGCTGTTGTTGCAGTTCCAACCACAGACTTATCTGTGCACCTTAAGTTCCTCCTTATAAATAAATCATTTTTTCCATCAGTTTTTGGTCAGTGTTGTATTCTGCATGTCTTGGGTTAAGTACCTTCCTCCAAACATGACACTCCTCTTCAAAGAGCAAATCTGTTCAGCACATTCTGACAGACAGACCACCATTCTTCTGTCATGATGCTGTACAGGACATTTTTAGAGTTTTTCTTTTTAAAGATAAATAGGATTACATTTAAATAGCAATACTTTCACATTATCATTTTCCCACACTTCTGTATAACTGTATTTTGTTGTTTTTCAATAAAGAATGACAAATTATTTAAGTTTGGTTTTTGTTGCACACAAATACATATCTGTAAAAAATATCTACAAAGCTAATGTTTACATAACAAGTATGATTGGGTTTTGCAATACGGCACTATTTTAGTAAGATTTTTAAACCAAGTAAAGTTAGTAAAGAACACATTTCTATTGTCTGCTAAGAAACTTGGGATTTAAAATGGGCCTGTTGTACAAATAACTTGTAAATGATTATTCCTCACTTTTGTCTTAACCAAAGAAATTCCAGTAATTGAGCAAAAACATTTATTTTTAACACTACATTTTATAAAACAGGGCGCAAAGTGTCGGCACATGTATGTATGTCGATGGTCCGCCCCAACCGAACCAGGAGACACAGACGTCAGGGAGGCCAATGTTGTCTCTGCAGCTCTCTGGGCACCACGCCTCACGCAGCTGTCTCCAATTATCCAAATGGCTATGGAGAAAAATAACAGGTTTGTCATAATTGTTTAAAGTACAAAACCATACATGAAGTGGTGAGACAGGTATGTGGAACTTACACTTGCTGCGTTGTGTAGCTGATGTCGGAGACACACAGGCTGCCATGGTGACCTTTTAACAGATCTAAGAAAAAAATGAAAATTAAAAACTCCAAGACCTCATGTCATATTTACTAATCAGCTATGGCTGATTTATTGTTTGGATCACAATGAGTTACACAAATTCTAATATATTTTATTTCTATTATACATACATACTTTTTAACTGTTATTTTCACATGACTGTTATCAGGCTCTCTTGTTCTGGTTCTGATGATAATTCCGTGTCTTCCAGTAAGTTATCTTGTGCTTACTTCATCTGTAGAATGTCTCTTTACTTTTGGTAAATTGTACTGAGTCCAGAATAAAGACTAGTTGGCTGTACAAGATACAAACAAGTGTAACATTTTGGAAATATATGAAATGTATTTACGCTGCTAATTTAGCTCGAATACTAATAACTGCCATATTTTCCGGACTATAACTCGCACTTTTTTACATTTTCTGGCTGGTCCTGCTACTTATACTCCGGAGCGACTTATATAACAAAATATGTAGGCTACACCGCGCTGCTGCGGGCCGACTCCGACCCACACAAGAATGAGTTCCCCTGTCCCGCTGGGAGGGTTTCAAACACCGCCAGCATCTGTTAGAGCCTGTGGTGGGGTGCTGAGGGCCGGCTCCAGCCCAGGAATGAGCTCTCCTCGCCGGCCGGGAGGGTTTGAAACACCGCCATCCTCTCCTCTGCTGGCTGTTGTTCATTCTGTTATGGTTACCGGTGCTTGTGTTGCAATGTGAAACGCTTGGTCTCAGATTTTGTAAGAAAGATAATAAAATGTCCCCCCAAAATACGACTTAAATATATTTTCTCTTATTCATGATACATTTAATGGCTGGTGCGACTCAGGAGTGATAGCGCCGAAAAAAACTGTACTGAAAACTTGCTCAAAGCAAAATGTTTTCATTACGGAAATAAATTATAAACTTACCGATTTAAAACTTTTTAAATACAGGTACTTCTCACGAACAGGCGCAGAAAACCTCCACCTAAACTCCGTGTAAGGTTCAGGTCGATGGGTGTTCCAGTTAGCTCCGGTTGGGTTGATGCTAGGTGGCTACATCCGTTAGCTCGGCTCCCACCTCCGCTTTAGCTTTGGGTTAGCCAGGGTTAGCTTCAGGTTAGCTCGTAGCTAGTTCGCCTGGGTGTCGTCACTCGAGCCCAGCCTTACAGCCCCACCCTCAGCTCCTCCTCTCTTCCCTTTTATGGAATTGTCTGGGCTGGACGGAACCTGTGACACGGTCAAAATGGCGGTGGTGGCCACCTCCCATTATAGACAACAAACGTGTTATTGAAGCCAATGGAATCCGTTTGTCCAGTATGTACAGTCTATGGTTTAGAGGTGGTGAGCGCATGAGGAGGTGGAGGAGAATGAGAGACAAATATGTCTGTTTAAAAAGTCTCATATACAAAAAACATAATATAAACACACTATCTTGGACCCGATACATGACAGAATACCACAGAACAGTGCTACGCCCTCTGTTATCCTGCCGGGCAATTGCTTTGCAACACTCCAGGAGACAGAGAAGTATGAGAGCAAAACGCTTCCGTCAATCCGTGCGTGTCTCCCTTGCGGAGCTGACGGAGAAGCATAAACCAGGCTTTAGTGTTCTAAAGCTGTCCTGTCTGTCTACTGCTTTTATGCTACACATTCTTGCACCCAAGTGTCAAATGATGCGGTGTGACCAAGCGTTTGTTTAGCTTAATCAAAGTTTTCACCTACTTAGTAATTCCTGGCTGACCACATGTAGTTCTCTTCACAATGTTGAATTGATATTATTTTAATTTTTTAGTTTTTGTTATTTTTATGTAATCCCATTGTTCAGTTTGTGTTTGTTTTGTCTGTCTTTATTGCTGTAAATCATATTGAGTTGCCTTTGTGTAGGAAATGTGTTATATAAATAAAGCTGTCTTGTCTTGTCTAGTGTGAACCACAGTCACCACACGGGTGATGTGTTGAAAATGCCCAAGTCTATCCTTGTGAGAGCACCATGTGAGCACCTGTGTGTGTGTGTACA